CATACTCCTAGGATAGTTCTACACGTTTAAGAATGTAGAATGGGGTTTGAAAGGAAGTTCTAAGTCCAAGAACGGACTTAGAGAACAAAGTCGACGGGTTCATCGGAAAATAACCTTTTAGAGGTTATTTATGTTGATATGAGTTTTATGATGATAAAACCTTGTTATTAACTTGTATAATGTATTTCAAGAACTTTCACGAAGTTGAAAGGGTCGCCGGAGTTGTCGCCGGAGTTTGTTGAAGTTCGCCAGAGTTTCGTCGGGGCTCAATCGGAAAGGCTAGAACTCCATAAGTTTCATTAAGGTGAGAAGACGGCTATATGCTTTGTAACTTTTGCGTGAGGCATGAGATTACCTAAATTAATCAAGAATATGTTTTATGAATTGATTAATAGTATTCAAGCATGTGATATGTCATATTAAAGAATATAACATTGTTGAAAGACATGATATGTAAGTTTGATTAGTGAAAATATTATAAATTGATGTGCATGATGTTCCAAGGACCCAAATAGGTATTTTTGGATTAAGGACGTCAAGAAGTACATGCATGTAAAATTTCACGGTAATCGGACTTCGTTTGGGTTGTCAAACAGGCGTTGACCGCCAAGTCAACTATTGTACCCGACCGGGTATTAACTGAAAAATAGCCCTAGGGGGTACTGCCTTCTATACCCGACCGGGTATAGGTGGGTACCCGACCGGGTATTGGGTTTTACACCCAAACGGTCAGTTTTGAATGAGTATAACGTGGGTCGCTCGGGTGGGACCCGTCCACGTTGATTATTAAGGATTAGTATGTGACTATAGGGCTAGGTATTGTCCATAGTTAAAGGAATGAAAGGTTAGCCATATCCAGGTTAGGGTTTGGTAAGGAATAAGGTTGAGGTTGAGTATCCCCGGGACGGTAAATGATCCTGAAACTCGGTTGGGGTTGAGTATCCCTGGGACGGTAAATGATCCTAAAACTCGGTTGGGATTGAGTATCCCCGGGACGGTAAATGATCCTGAAACTCGGTTGGGGTTGAGTATCCCTGGGACGGTAAGTGATCCTAAAACTCGGTAGGATATTATGAATGTAGAATGTAGCTTGTGAGCTAGGCATTCGGGAATGGATGGGAAAGGTCGGGTAAGTACCTTATCCCTAAAAGACTCTTTAAATGAAAAAGACCTACGGGTCAAGTATTTTACAAGTATATACGGTATGTATCATCTTGTGGTTGGGGTAACAATGGTTACACCTATACATTTATGTATCACCCTATTTTTGGGTCTCGTGTCTGAAACATTAGTTATTCCTCATATATCCTGCTTGTCACTAGTACTTCCTATGAAGTACTGACCCCTTCGGGGGCCTCACATTTTTCAGGTTAAGGCTAGAGTCCTATTCCCGCACCTTTGCCTAGGGTGATCATCAAATAAGGAAGACGTGGTTCGTGCTTCCATTCTTATTTGAAACTATGTAATTGGTCATGGATATTTAAACAATGTTTTCTATCAAACTATTGAAGGGCCTGCGTGCTCATGTTTGCCACGTGTGGGCCGTGTGGCTAATTATCAAATATATTTTGTTTCCGCATTTGTTTGATTAATATATTGATATTGATTGTATGGATTTACTAATCGGTTTGGCAATAGAATCTATCGGACGCCTTGTATGATTTAATAAGAATGAACTACGTTGTTCTTATTGGGTTGTATGGCGGTTGTCTACGTGGCACGGATGCGGTCCGGGGCGTGAAAAATACTCCCAAACTCCTGCTTTCTGTGTGGGATCCTAGGCCATGCTGACCGATTTTGCCCATCTAATCCTCATAGTGGGCTGGGGATGGGAGACAAACCGTATGGACCGTGGCTGAGAGCTGATATGAGGCGGGGAGGAGTGCATCCGGGGAATAGATGGCTCATTCCTAGCAATAATAAACAGGGTGATAAGCAAGGAAAAATTGTGGAGGTTGACAAAGAGATAAGGGAACACGAAAGTTATTTGGTGGAGGGTTTGTTGTCCAAAGGTAAGGAGACTACTACATATGGAGATGCACCTAGAAAGTGTCGGGTCACTGAGACTGATAGAGAGATGGGGACACCGGCGAATATAGATGTTGATGACGCGTCGTCAAAAAACTTGGGAGTGGCGGTGCTGCCCGAACATCACCGCCAGTAGCGGAAAGTGGCAAGGTCTTGAACGCTGTTTCTTTAGCGGGGGCCGGTCAAACCGCTACTCCCTTGCCAGTGGCTGGTCAAACTGGATTATGTTATTTTTCTGCCTTTCATTTAGCTCAGAACATTGCTTTTTTTTTTATTTCCCTTTTAGTAGCAGGTGCATCATTGCTGCGTATGGAGCCTACCACAAAGCGGGGTTAGCTAGATGGCCCGCTTGTATGCGTGAATCCAGCTCAAAGTCTCACCCCGGTGTAGCCTTTGTTATGACAAATTTGTATTTGGTTCTCAGTTTTATTAATAATTAAGTTATCCGTTTAAAAAAAAGATGTCTACTCAATCGATTTTTATACCTAATATGGAATAAATATATTTTACTAAATGACATTATTTATTGTCAATATAACTTAATAATAATATTAATAATAATAAATTGATTAATTTACTCTATTCAGAAGATTTATTCAACACACAACTTGGTCTATACAGACATCTTAATTCATACCGGACGTACTGAATAGAAAAAAGGTAGACATTCCCTCTATCTTTTAGCGTTAATTGAGTACATCCGCTAGATTAAGACAATAATATGGCTGAGATGACTAATGATATAATGAATCTCTTCGTCGCTTCTTCCCCATTTCTTTGTTGTGTTAGCATGATCGTGATATGACCGTAGGCATGAACGCGAGAGCCAAAACAATAACCTTTCTTGAGGGATGCAAATGATAGATTTGAGGTCATCCTCTGTAAAGGGAGTAGTTTTGGTAACAAATGCATCAATAGAGGCATTGCTGGTGGCCAAGGTCAATGAAGAAAGAGTCGGCTACACGATCTATTTAACGGAGTTGGAATTAGGAGGAGACGAGAAGAGATGCCTTGTATTTGCGGTATCATCTAGATTGCATTAATAAATGGTCCAGAATAAAGGTGGATATGGTGTGAATTAGACTCCTCCATTTGCCATATAAGTAATTTTAACATTAAATTCAAAAATGTACTTAATCAACGCCGCTAGAACGCCGAATCTATGTCCTTGTAAATATCAGATGCAAAATAATGTACCTTTTACTCTGGTGTGTACAAGTTAATATATATTTGACACTGCACTTTTCTCATTAATCTACTTTTTTCATGCAATTCAACATTATCAATATTTTCACCCAATGCACTATTTATGAATACTTATGATGTACTCGTAAGAGCTCAACAAGTCTGATGTGTTAATTAAATAAAATTGAGATTTAATTTGTTGTTTTCGATTTCTCTGGAAAACTGTAATCGAAAGATATAAAAAAATGCAATCATGCATGAGATTTTAATTTATTGCATTAGTTCCATCTAAAAAAATTGGGCCTAAGAATCTCTAACATCTGCATTTTCTACTTTCATTATTTTATACGTAGTATATGCAATATCGATGTCATATGAAAAAACTATAAAAAATGGTGAGCCATACTATATTTTTTGTAAAAGAAGGATTACGAACATTTTTTAACAATTTAAGAAAAATAGATCATTTCCCATCGTTTGGCGAAGAGAATTTTTTTCACACTAACAAATGTTTTCGTCTATTTCATTTCATGTAAAATGTACACAAAAGTGTAAGAATAACATTTTCCTGATTTCTAGAGTTAATTCCCTAAATAGGCCGAAAAAGTGCGTCAAGAGCACAAAAAGGATTACATGTTTTTTATTCTTTCTAGTAGGACTATTTATGTGTATTTGGACAAATATACCCTTGAGGCTTTTGAAATGTCTTAATTAATAATAAAATCATAAAAAAATTAAAAACAAAAAAAAGTCACAAAATATTAAAAAATTTATAAAATATTTTTTGTTAAAAAAATTGAAAATGTTTAAAAAATTGTAAAAAAACGCTGCCGCCTCTGCCACCCCCAGCTCCCATCACCAGTTGGAAATCTGCCAACATTTTTTGTAATGCCATAATAATGGTAGATTCAATGAGAGTTTTAGCATTATGATGAGTAATAATGTCATTTTATTGGCATTTTCAGAAAACCAATGGCCTTTTTTGCAATAAATGGCAGAATTTTCACCGATCGGAGATATCCATTTTTTTTTATTCATTTATGTGTTTTTACTATTTTTTATTAATTTCATTTTTAAAAAAAGCAAAAAAAAATCTGTCAACAATTTTAGTAATGCCATAATAATGGCAGATTCAATGAGAATTTGACATTATGAAGAGTAATAATTCCATTTTCTGGAAAAAATGTTTTTTTTAATAAAAAATGTCAGATTTTTTTAATGCATTTTTTCTGTTTTTCATTAATATTATTCTTTTAAAAAAAATAAAAAAAAGTGGCTTTTTATTTATACTTTTATTATTTTTGTACGATTTTTAAACTTTTTTACATTTATTATTATTTTTTAAGATTTTATTATGAATTATAACATTCATTATGAAAGAATACCCTTAGGGGCATTTTTGTTATGAATGAATTGTTTAGTCCAATTCCAAATGGTTAAAAATGTAGTGATCCTATTAATTATACGTAGAAGATTATTTTTAGCTCTGTATAGATTAATAAGTATGATTTCTAAGGTGGTAAACTCTACCTATATATAGGTAGGGAAATGGCGTCCATTGTCCTTTGCCAGCGCTACGTATAGAGCACCAACAAAACATTGGGAGTAATATTATGAAGTATTACCCTAAATAGGAGTAAAATAATGAGAAAGTTCCAAATTAGGAGTTCCTAATAATTTTTTCCCTAAATAGGATCAATTAATTGACTATTCCAATTATACCCCTCTTTATTTTCGACTTTCTGTATTCATTTTCTATTTCACTTATCACATCTTCCCACAACCTTCTCTCTCCTCCATATTTCTCTCCCTCCCTTCTCATTTCTTACACACCCCAACATTTTTTCTCTCTCTTTTCTCTATCTTCTCTATCTTCTCCCTCTCATCTCTTCTCCAACCCCAATCCCTCAAACAATATCGGATCTTCTACTCCGGCAGCATGGATGACTCCGGCAACGTGCGACTACGGCAACATGGTGCTACTACGGCGACGTGGTTCCACTCCGGCGACGTGGTGCGACTCCGGCGAAGTGGTGCGAATCCTTTCTCCGGTAAGTATCTTCCATCTATTCTTTCTCTTCAACCTTTCGTCCTCCTCTTTTCTACTTTTCTTCTTCTTCACACTAGTGGAAAAAGGCCAAACAGAGGCGCTTCATTTGAGGCGCTTTTACATAAAAACGCCTCCCATTTCCGAAATTATTTTTTTTGTTATTTTTTAATCAGCCGTGCGGCACTTCTAGAGAATAAGCGCCTCCGAAATGAATTTTAGATATATGTACTTCTATTTACGATTTTGTAACAGCGTGCGGCGCTTTTTAGATGATAACCGCCTGCAACTATTAAACAGATTTTTTTTAATTTGAAAACCCAGATGTGTGCGGCGCTTTAGTAAAGCAAGGGCTTGTAAAACAAATTGATTTAAAATCTGAAATGTGCGGTGCTGGTTGAGATAAGGCTATCCAAAACTAACATCTAGGTCTAAACAATCGGCCCCTGCCGCAGCCGAGTGCTCTTTCATCTCCGCTTTGCGGCCGACTCCTCGACTATCTCCGTCCCTCCGCCGCCTGCTCGATTGTCGCCATTCCTTCGCCGCCTGCTCGATTGTCGCCATTCCTCCGCCGCCTGATGGATTATCGCCGTCCCGCCAACGCCTTATCGACTATCTCTGTCCCGCCTCCGTCTGCTCGACTATTGCCCTCCCGCCTCCGTCTGCTCGACTATCTCCGTCCCGCCTCCGTCTGCTCGACTATCTCCGTCCCGCCTCCGTTGGCATTGTACTAGTTTTTTGCCATTTCAGCTTCTCCATTTAATTATTCTCGAGTGATGCCTATTTATGAGCACTGAATAACATTGCTTTGCTATTTTTATTAATTTCACAGCTGCAACATCACAGACTTATTTATGTATACATTTTCATTCTGTTTTTAGGGTTTTCAAACTTGCTTGAGATAAAGAAAGAAATTTTCTTAGTGGAAGCTGCGAAAATAAGCAACCACGGCATCTCGGTCTGATTCACCATGGCATCACAGGTTTTAATAAGTTGTGTTTTTCAGTATTTTATATTTTATATTATATGATGGATTTAATTTATTATGTAAACAAGTCATTATAATTTCGGGTTCATTATTAATTGTTGTATGGACATTCAGGTTTAGAGTCTCAAGCAGAGGATCATATGCACCGGAAGAATTCAATGATACATGTAGAATATCTAGTTTAGAATTTCTAATTTACATTTTTTTAGATGTAATGTATATGTGTTAATTCCATTGTGTTCTGAGCAGTATTGTGAGTTAACATTAACATTAAAAATTTGGTTTTATTTCTTGCAGTTTTGTAGTGAGAACAAAATTGTGTATTCTATTTTGATACATTTGAATGAATGAATATTTGATGTTTGTATTGATACCGTCGTTTAAACTTTCAATACCTTCTAAATCAGGGAATGAAATAATTTTAAAAAATGAAATCAGAGTCACTTTTGTACTATATAAGCGCCACAAACAGAAGTTAAAACAAAAACGATTAGAGGCGCTTCTGATTTGCAAGCGCCGCACGCAATAAAAATTATTTGCTTTAGAGGCGCTTTTCATGCCATGAGCGGCACAGGTCCGGATAGTTTTTGTGATTTGGAGGCGCTTCTCATTGAATAAGCGCCGCAGGCTTTCCCGAAAAAAAAATTTAAAAAAAAATAGAGGCGCTTCCCAATTAAAAAGCGCCTCGGATAACGATTTGCGACACTTTTTTAGAGGCGCTTCAAAGCGCCGCGAGTGGTCCAAAAAAAGCATCTCTAATTGACATTTTTCCACTAGTGTCACCTGGATCTCTGATTTTTTTTTTAATTTTTCAGATTCAACATGGAATTTTTTAAATATAGGTTTGGGGATTTGGAGTATCTGAGGCTCCACTAGTTGTGCATATGGAAATTTCAGATCTAAATTTTGTATTACAGAGTATTAAAATACAAAAAGTCCAGTGATTTAGAAATATTGAATCTAGTTTTTATTTATTAATTTTAATTTATTTATTTTGAAATTTTCAATTTAATAATTTTGGATCTAAAAAATCTATATCTAATATTTATTTTTTGAAACCTTATTTGAAAACAATGCTGTTATCATAATATTACATTTATTAAGATCAAAAAATTATTTTAAAATTGACATGTTTTTTAATATGTTTGGTAAATAATGCCATTTTAGTACTTGAAATGAAAATATTACTCCTTTGCAAAAACAATACTATTAATGCCATAATTTTCTGCTTTTCCATATGAATATTATTTTTGACATTAATGCCATTTTTATGACATTATTTCCTTTCACATGGCAAAAACATTACCTATAATGCCATGTTTTTTCATATATAAAAAATTTATTTTTCCTCTGAGATCCGCATCTTTTTTTTACTGTGAGATCTGTATGATGGTTTTTTCAATCTTCCTTTTCTCTTTCAATTTTTCTCACTTTTTTGTTTTTTCTAACTTTTTTATGTTATCTCTTACTTTAAGTTAATACGGAGTATTTTTTTTACATTCATGTCAATGATTTTTTTACTGCTACAAATTAAATTTATGATTTGAATTCCAAATTTTCATAACCGTTGCTAACATTACGGAATTAAAATGGAAATTTCTCCTTTGCAAATACATTACTAGTAATGACATGTTTTTCTACGTGAATATATTATTTTGACATTTAATGTCACTTTTATGGCATTATTTATGAATGCCATTTTGGTAAATAGTGTCATTTTCAATGGCATTACTTGAATAAATTAGGCAAATAATGCCATATTGTATAACTATTAATGACATGTCTTTTTAACAAAATGGCATTATTATTTTAACATGGCATTAAATAATTTTTCACCAGATCTAAGATCTACAGTGGTCTGAACACTGGAGGCTGGCAACGGCGATGCCGGAGGTCGCAGATGAAGCGGCGAAGTCGCCGGTATGGTGGCGGCGGTCACGAAAAGACTAGATAAGGTCAGACGCCGGTGGCGGCGGCTCCGACGCCGGTGGTGGTCGCGGCTCATACGCCGGTGGGGGCGGCTCATACGCCGGTGGCGGCGGCGGCTCAAACGCCGGTGGTGGTCGCGGCTCATACGCCGGTGGTGGTGGCGTCGACGCCGGCGGCGGCGGCACCAAAGCCAGTGGTGGCAGTGAAGGTTGCATCCAAAGCGTCAGTGAGGATAGTGCTAGACCACACAATTTGTTTTACTTCGTATTATTTTACTTTGTATTGTTAATCAATAAATGAATTGATTTATTCATTAAGGGTAATAGTGTCAAGTCACTTCTTTTTACTCCTACGGAACACTATAAAACATTTGAGTCCTATTCTTGCATTTTGTACAAGTTTTACTCCTAGACAGGGAATTATCTCTAATATTATTCAAACGTCGTCTCTTCTTAATTAATTTTCTGTACATTATCCGACAATGCAGGCAGACGGTGCACCGCCGGTGAGTTTGAAGCTCCTCATTAACAAGAAGGATAAAAAGCTAAGGTGGTTTTCGCGGAAGCCGAGAAACCGTTCGTGGACTTCCTGTTCTACCTGATGTCCTTGCCGATGGGGACCGTCATCAAGCTCGTGACCCATGGTGGGTGCCCTCGGCAAACTCTACGGCAGTATCTCTGACCTCAGCGACACGTACTTGCAGCCGGGCACGAACAAGGATACCTTCTTGAACCCCAAAACTACCTTTCTGATGTCTTCGGAAGTGCCCCGTCTTATGCCGCCGGTTTCTCTCCGGTGACCAAGAAGGTTTACACTTGTACCAACTACCGCAATGCTAGCGGCGGCTCTAGCAGTTGCCGGACCACATTGCGATTCACTGATCATGACCCGAAAGCTCTGTGTCCGAACTGTCACTCCGCCATGAGCGCCGAGATGAGCTACGTCGCTCCGGCGGTTTCTTCCGTGGAGGAAGGCGGCGGCGGGTTTGTGAGGGGGGTTGTAACCTACATGGTGATGGATGACTTGAAGGTGATGCCGCACTCTACCATTTCCACCATAACCGCTCTGAATGATCATAACGTACGTCAAGGACTTTGGATCCCTTGAGGTTAATTAAGGTTGTCCAATTGGGTATTGATTCGGTACGCACGCGCGCCATTTCTTGTTCGGATCTATTCTCTTAAAACTTTTCATATTCGCGCGGATTTTTTTATCAACCATTAATCGATATATATAGAACTAATACAAGTATATTTTTATAGGAAATTATTTAATTTAGAATCAGTATACTACCTCCGTCTCAAATTGATTTACAAATTTGACTTTTCTTGGTCAAACAGTTTCATTTTATTCGCTTAATTAATTAGGATGTCAATTTTTAATTACATTCTAATTTGGAGTTTACAACTTTCAAGAGATTTTAATGTAGTTTCTGAATATATAAATTTTATTTAATTGTCGATAAGAAACATTGACTTTTATTATTGGTTTCGTTGACAAAAAATGTTGAATTTGCAAAAAAATTTGGGACGGAGGACTGTTTTTCCCCCATTTCCTAGACTTTTTTCCGCAACTGTATATTATCACTAATAATTATATATTTGGGGATTAACATTTGGTGGCAGGGACTGAAGTTGTTGAAGGCTGCATTGCAAACTAATTCTGTTCTCACAGCCGTCTTCCTGGGGAAGTAGCTATGCTTAATTACATGTTCGAGGATGCAATTGTTATTTTAATTTGAAGTTTAACTTTTGTGTTAGTTCACTTTTTGTCATGTAACGTACCTTTATTCCGCAAGCTATGTATTTTTGCTTATGCATGCATCATGTACGTTTTGAACTATCTTATGAACTACTTACTCCGTATGAAGTAATTTTAATTTAAATATTATGTTCTGTATTCTTTTTTTTTTAGGGAAGAAGATTAACTATCATTTATGAAATCCTGGAATAAACTGTTCCGAATACATTGAGCGACCCGATTCGCTGATATCTTAATTTGACTGAAAACAATATTAGTAAAATTACTACTCATTATTTAGAAATCTTCGATAATCAGGGAAAAACACGACACGCCCACTCCCGTGTTGATACCCGAGATGACTTGTAATGCGTCCGTCTCCACCTCTACATTAGCCCTGCCTTGATTCATAACCCAACTGAACGCTGCTTCTCTGATGCTAACGCCTCAGCCTCATGACTAGGCAAGTGATTGCCTTGCATGCCACGGAATAGCCCCCCGGCTAGGAAGTCCCTAGAGCTGTCGCGTGCCACCCATCCTAATAAGCTGCAGCAGCCACCGGCCTCCTCATTACAAGCTGCATCTGTATTTATTTTAGTAATAACTCCTGCAGCAGGTTTTTTCCAAAGAAGATCAAGGTCCCTACTGCCAGGTTGATGCACTTCCTTATTATCATTAACTCGCCTCCAGCTTTCCAGGAAAGATGCTTGGATACAAATCTGATCTGTTCAGCCGTGGCTTCAATTCCCTCCCACAGATTCCTATTTCTGGCATCTCATAACGCCCAGCAAACCATCACCCACCTGCAACAATAATGTTCCACATCCATGGCTGAGAACAGGTAGAGCTTCAACCCACGCCATGAACAAGCTGTCCCCCCTCTCAGCAGCCCCCCATGAAATTTGTCCCACACTTCCTCGAAGCCTACATCTGCGAAACACATGGTTAGTCGTTTCCAACTCGTCCTCACAACGACAACAATGAGGCTCTATTTCCACCCTTCTTTTGTACATGTAACTCCATTGTAAATTCAGTTATTGCTTCTTTATATAATGGAAAATCCGGTGACTCAACGTATGGAGATTAAGCTTTGAGCTCCACAAAAAAGGAAAGCTACGTGTGTATTTTTTGTCTCCCTAAGCATTAGCTACGTATGAATATTTCCTCCTAAAAAATTACTACATTTTAGAAGTTACGCATGAATTCTTCCTCGTAAGCACTCCCAACACCTTTCAACAAGATTATCATTTGTTGACAGACACCCACACATAGTTGCCAGAAGAAAGTTTGTACTTTTGGAGTAAATCAAAAATTCCAGGTGGAATTCGAAAATTTCAAACACGAGTCCATCCCATCCATCCAGTTCGTAACAGCCTCACTAACCAAAGCCCGGTAACAGCTACAAACTGAGAACCTCCCATTTGCCTCCCAAGCCCAGTAAATTGCATCTGGAGTATTGCGATTGCTCAACGGAATTTTCCTGACTAGCTCCCTGTCTCTTGGCTCTGAAATGTCAGCGATTACCTCCCAATCCCACGACTTTTCACCCACTGAAAACAACCCCTCTACTCTCAGCTCCTCCAAACCCTCCCAGACCCGTCTGTGCTAACAGATTGTCCCCTGATAGCCGAGGATCATTCCATACATTAATAATTTTCCTATCCCCCACCCTCCACCGATATCCTTTCTTTATTACTTGCTT